ATAATTTTTACAGGGTGGAGAAAAAGCGTAATACCCGAAGAAAAACTCCCAAAGTACAGGAAAAAACCAACAAGCATTTCTGTTGACATATGTAACAGAGATCTGTGATCGATCTTAGTTCGCACTGCAGTTGAAAGACGAGCACGAACGCTACCCTTGTATAAACAAATGCTATTAGTTAGCTAGTGTTTGACTTACATTTTCATTGAAGTGTAATACTGTTCTATAAAGTCCTCAGCGTGTATCGCCACTTCCTCTTTAGGTCTAGGTATCCCATAAGCCCTTGGGGGTGCCACTTCTCCTCCATACGGCCTCATTAAAGATCCTTCACATCTTGCTGGGGTGCAGTTTAATGGCTAAAGGAATAAATGTACAAGAAGAACAGTCAGAATCAATCACCAGGGCTCGATAGTCAGTTACATTTCTGTAAGTCACGACTTCATGCTTGAATGTAGTTAATCGAAATAGACTCTAACCCTGATAATCTTTCATGCCTAAACTACCACAATCCTCTTCCAGAGCACCATTAAGGCATGGCTCTTTTGAGGAAATGATGGAAAATCAGTTATTTATTCATATCTTTGACAGTTTAAAATGAATCTTTCCCAAAATTATATGTTACCATGGAAACCAGGTCACGTCACCACACAAGGCCGCCATCTTGGATTTTTTAAAACAAGCCGTTTGTAATCGTATTGAAACTACTTCAAAAGTCCTGAAAATCCATATTCATTTTCATATTTGCAATCCCTATATGGATCTAATTGGATATCTTGGAAATTATATTAAGTTTAATTTTTAGAATATTTTTAATTTTTGGAAAAAAAATAGAAAACATTCTAAAAATTAAACTTAAAATAATTTCCAAGATATCTAATTAGATTCATATAGGCATTGTAAATATGAATATTTTTTAATATGCATTTTCATGACTTTTAAAGATGTTTCGGTACGTTTTCAAAAGGCTTGTTTGCAAATCTAAGATGCATGGCAACCAAGGCTCTAAGGTTCCTTTTTTTCACAAAAGACATTAAATTGCCAAGTTTGGGGAAGATTCGTAGAAAACTGGCTATGATATGGCTAAACAGTCTGAATTCTCTTTTCATATTCAAATGTAAAAACTCCTTTGAGAATACCAAGACAATAGTGAAAATTTGCATAACAAAGAAAGCTAGCGAAAGGGAGGATTTTTGAAGTGCAGTAGGTATAAGTTGGCATAAGATGCTTGAGGCCAATATAGCACTAGCACGAAAACCTTCCGAAATTTAATTTGGCTGAAACTTAAATGGAATAATCTTTAAGGGTTTAACAAAAACTGGTTGAATTTTTTTCATTATATTCCAATGGGAAGTATTATATTTTTACGAATTTTGATAGGTGTCTGTGACGTCATACACTCAACACTAAGCATCTTCATGTTTTACTCTTTTTCTATTAAGCCCAAAGGTCCGCTGAGGGACTTATAGTATATAACTTGTGATTAGAGTCATTTTCTGATATTTTCTTATTCAATGCTGAGTATAAAAGTAGCGGATATTTTGATTACAAAATACAAAAAAATGTATGGAGCGATGCTTAGTGTTGAGTGTATTACGTCACAGATTCCTATAAAAATTCGTTAAGATATAATACTTCCCATCCGAACATCAGGAAAAAACTTTAACCAGTGATTATTAGATATTTAAGGGTTAATCCAGTAATAATAGTAATAATAGTTTTGAGGACATTATGTTGGATAGTTGTTCTTCAAAAGTGTACGTATCTCCGATTTTTGATTTTTTGCTTATTTCCAAAGTTATCGTGAATTTTGGCTCGGATACAGCTGATATAGCAGCGTCATAACTTTAGGAGCGTATAAAAAAGCAACGGGGCAACTAATCAAAAATCGGAGACACTCTTTTGACAAGTGATGTCTTGTGATCTCGGAAAGGTACTAAGCATTGATTTCCGATCATTACCGGCTGTCGTCAAACTCCGCGAAGATGCCACGGTGAAAATTTGAATGATTCGCTCTAACTTAAAAGGATAAATTTATTTTACGAAAACGAAAAAAGGAGCAGTTTCTACATTTATTCAGCTTTCACAAAATGTATACTTTGTTGAGGTTTCGATTAAAAGGTTTTGTGCTATTAAGAGTTGAATGCACAATGGTCGCTAGGGGTACCCTGATACCTTAAAATTTGGATGATTTTCGTGCTAAAAGCCCTTTTAAGAACAAATCCCAGCTAGTCAGGTTAACGGTCCTTTGCCGCCGGTCATATTCAATTGTTAAAACTCCTTCATTTGAGAATACCAAGACAATATTGAAAATTAGGCTGCGTTCATTATGTATACCGCAGGGGTGGGTGG